CAGTTCAGTTATCTCTCTCCAGTAGAAATATTTGGAGAATAGATATAAAAAGGGGAGGTATCAGATAAACATATTTACAAAATATAGTAAAGATCATCACAACTTTCGTTAGAGTTTATTGCGCTCAGCATACTTAAAGTTGATGACTAACATGAGGTTGTCAATAAAGGTCTTAACCGCCTTAAAATTTGACAGAACTTTCTTCAAACATTTTATCATGTAATTTACTTTTCAGAAGAACTTATAATATATATATCATTGAAAATATCCATATGAAAGATTATATATAAAATATAGAGAGATATATAAATCTATAAATGTAAATGTATGAGTCCATCGGTCTATTCTAGTTAGTTATAGACAGAGAGAATGTCATCTGGCTTTAGGGAAGTTGTATCCCTAACCACCATTCCTCCCATCAGCAGGAATGAAATGAAGTTGGGTTAGTATTAAACACTGCTGACTACTGCAAAATACTGTATTCAGTGAAGAAATATAAAGTTAATGCTCTAATGGAAGCACATGTTGGATTAATTCTTTCCGTTTGGATAATGTGCCTTTCCTAAGCAGCAGAGGCCGGGAGAACAGGCCTTTCCTGTCTTCTCCTACAACTTCCAACGAACACCAGCAGGAATTACCAGAAAAGGTCAGAGGGGAACAAAGTCCTCAATACTCTGTCCTAGCTTCCCAGCCCTAGGAATCTATTTCTTTCCTTTCAAGTATGCAAGCACAATTGATTTTGTGAGAAATGCAGGGAGGAAACTGGCATGGGCAAATGTGAAACATTGCCCAATTTTAAAAGGCCATTTAGGGGCAGGTTTGGTTTTGGAAACCATGTGTTCATTTTTTCCCTCATACTATAATTTTATTATGCAGTAAAACTATGACATGATCCAGGGCACAGGAATACAAATGAAATAAAGGGAAGAAGTGAAACAGTGGATATCATTCAGTTTCCTAAAAGGCACAGATATGTTGGACAATTTCACTGTAACAGTCAATTTATAAAATCAAAGCAGAGTTGTATAAGGTGCTTAACATATGCCAGACACTGTGCTAAGTGCTTTACCTGTGTAGTTATTCATGTCAGTCCTCTAACTTTAAATCTTCCATTTTATAAAGCATGAACAGAAGTCTATTCTTGGCTTTGTGGTGGAATTACTATCACTGATATAAAAATATCAGCGTCTGAGTATCAGCCTCACATTTTCTTATTTAAAAGGATATAGGAATTTTTAAGCTTTTACAGATGATTGTAATATGTAGCACAGTTTGAGTCACTTGGTTGAATGATTCTTCTTAGGTTAATGATGGTGAACCACACGGATCAAATTTTTCAACTCAGCTACCCTGACTAGGGTATCTACGTGTTAATATCATCCATTCTGCCTCTAGACTTTAAAGCATTAACATTCACGAAGACTCACAAGGTAGATAGGATTATTCCTATTGTAAACATGAAAATATCAGGTAGAAAGAAGTTGAGTAATTCATCAAAAATTTATAATCAGCAGCAGAGGGTAAATACACAGTCAACACTTTGGACATCCAAGTCCATAAGCAATTGTTCTTTTTTATGTATCTGTGACTACTTGGAGTGTAATACACATAAATTAATACAGTATTTAATGTGATCAAGTGGAGAGGTAGAAACAACAGGGGATTAGGAACTTGCTTACACTTTCAGGCTAATCTCTCTGTCTCTGTCTCTGTCTCTCTGTCTCATTTTACAGGGAAAAAAAATTCATGCTGTAGCAGCATATTTTACGACACAAACAGAAGATGATGAATGGTATTGATATAGAGTTGAACAGATATTCTCCTTATAAATCTGAGGTCTAAGGTGTATAAAATCATTTCTACAAACCAGATGAAAATTAGATGATAATCTGTGTATTACTGATATCATAGTTTCTTGTCACTGAGACACAGTACCCAACATCCACAGCTCTAAGGAAAGCTGTATTGTAGCTTACAGTTTGTAGAGGTTTCAGCCCCTAGTCCGCTGGCTCTATGGCAGGAAAGCAGGCGGAGGGGAAGCACAGAGGAGAAACAGTCCATGGCAGGCACCAGGAAGCAGAAAGTGATAGAGGATGCAGGGAGGAAGATAGACCTTTTCAGGCCACACCACCCAGTACCTCACCTCTTCCTACCTGGCTTCTCCTACCTCCTACCTTCCAACTAATACACTGAGAAGTATCACACACTGTTGATCGAATCACCCCCTAAAAGCCCCACCTATGAGCACATGAAGCTGTGTGGAGACAGCTTTATATCTATATATCTGTAGATAGATATATAGATACGGATATAGATATACAGATATAGATACTGTAACAAGTGACAATATTCTTTCTATGGGAAAATAAACTCACAAATGAACTTCTGTGTGACAGCTGCAAAGTGGGAGATTATCTGCACTGCTACAAACACCAGATGTTAATATTATAAATGCTAATTTGTTTGTATATAAGGGATATGTGTTTTTAAAAGTAAATATAGACTGAATTCATCTATTTAAAATTACCAAATGACTATATCTATTTTTTATCCTCGGAGGCCAATAGAATGGCTTTTAAATCCGCACTATAGCATTAAAATTTGTTTCATTGAAATACATTTCCCTATTCCACTCAGCTAGCATCTGTCATGTGAGCCACATATGATGGTATGGTTATCAAAGTGATAAAGAATTATAGTAGACAGAAGCGACCTGATTCAATTAATCATCAGTCATTTAAAACATATCAAGCTTTGTTTTGACTGCCAGGGCCTTTGCAATAATGAGAGAAACAAACACTGTTTCTGTTACAGCTCACAAACTGAAGATAGTCCTTGAGCTTATCTCTGAACTGGAAACTCTCCCCTTCTAGCAAAACTGCTGAGGCACCCCATTCACTCCAAGTTTCCAAAAGCCATTAGTTATTACTGTACCTGTGACATGCTTTGCCCCATCACAGACCTTGTGTGTCTTCTCTTCCTATCTTTCTGTGGAGGATGAGCTTAAACAGCAGATCTTCCCACAAGACATCCCAAAAGGTTGCCAAGTAGAACTTGACCTGAGAGACGCCTCGGTTTCTTTAGCAGAGTGGATTGTGGCCAAGTCCATCTTCCATTTCCTCCAGAAATATGTGAATGCTGCTGTGTGCTAAGCACTACCAGGCAGGCATAGGGGATAAAGAAGGAATAAATTTTGATGTTCCACACTGTCCAGGATGAGTAAATATAATTAAAAATCCAAATTATAATACATCTGGATTCAGTTACTGCTCTTTTGTATCTTACTGTAAAGTAGATAACAGTTTTATAATATACACACTTTATAGAAAGTTAAAATAGCTCTCCTCTCCAGAGGAAACCAAGGTTACCAATTCCCGTGAATCCTGCCAGAAATATCCAAAAAGTGTACAGTGAAGTGTGTGTGTGAGTGTGTGTATGTTCAATATTTTTACATGGGTAATGTAAAAAATTTAAAACAAGATTTTGAAGCTTGCCTTTCCACTTATTTCTCTCTCTTTTTTTTTTTTTTTTTTTGAGGTAGGGTCTCACTATGTAGCTCAGGCTGACTTTGAACTCATGGTAATCCTCCTGCCTCAGCCTCCCCAGAGCTGGGATTACAGCCGTGAGGCACCACGCCCGGCACCACTTATTTCTCAAAGTTTGTCACTTGATCAGTGCATAAAGAACCTTCTCATTTGTTTTAAATTTTGCTAGATGAATATGATAAAACACTATGAATATCTAAATTTTAGAAATTATTACATTAAAAATACCATGCCATTAATCCCTCTCAACATAATCCACCTTTTTCTGAACACACTCATCCCATCACTCTTGGCCCTTTCTGAAGCAGTTCTTGAAGTCCTCCTTTCTGTGTCTGTGGGTGTGCTCTCAGCTGCCTAGAAGTCCTGAATTGGTTCAAACTGTTTATCTCTTATGGACATATTGATTTTGGGAAAGAACCAGAAGTTTTACAGAGCTAGATCCAGGGAATCATGTAGATAAGGACAAACTCTAATATTTTTATGATTATGTTTTTCAGTTAAATGACACTCAGCAGTAGAATTCACTACATATTTTATCACAGCTTCTAAAGGCTCTCATGAATGAGACCTTCTGGAAAAGCTTCAGAAAGGGCAAGAATGATGATATAAGTGTGTTCAATCAAGGAGGCAGAATTTAAAGGAGGACTAATAGCAATGTGTCTTTTATTATAATAAATTTTTAAAACTTAAATCTCTACCATATATTTTGAAAATCCCTTGCATATCATTTCATCTCAGGTATGTACCATAACTTACATAACCAAACATCAGCTGAAACTATTTTGGTTGTTTTCAGTCTCTTCCATTACAGTGTTACAGTCAATGACCTTATACCTCGTCATATGTATGTGCATGTGATGTAAAATTTTGTAATCTCAGTTGCCTTGCAAAATAGAGGAATGCCTGCTACTGATGGTATACACTGTAATCACAGTGTTCTTGGAGACTGACACAGCAGGACCGCAAGTTTGAGCCCAGCCTGGGAAATTTAGCAAATCAGCAAAAGCCTTCTCTCAAAATTTAAAAATAGAAATAGTAATATCATGCTGAAGGCCCTAGGTTCAATCCCCCATATTGTCTATTTTCTCATACCTTTAGCAACATAGTTTAGTTACCAGACTCTTGATCATTACCAATGTGTTTTGGTTAAAAAATAATATCTTGATTCAATTTGCAATTTTTATTATGAATGAGATAGATCTATTTTATATTCTTTTTAAGTTTTGTATGTGACATACAATATGTACACATATTTATAGGGTACAGTTTTGTATTGACAAGTCATTTTTATTTCTTTTTCTTTGATTTTTCTGGTCATATCTATGCTTGTATAGTATGTTATTATTGTTTTACTGATTTAAGTAGCTCTATAAATCAAGAAAATTAGGCTTCTGTAAAACGAGTTGCATATTTTTCCCCACAGTTAATAATTTGTGTTTTGAATTTGCCTTGCAGAAATTTGAGAGTTTTATGAAACTAAATTTATCAACTTCAGAATGAGTAAGTTCTTTCAAATCAAGATACAAAACACAGAAGCCATAACTGAAAGAGAAAAGAAAGTATATCTGTCTTTTCACATAGAGCACAAAAAAGAAATTATGGTTGATTTGTCAGTTTGTCTTTATTTCTGCATTCCACATTACATAAATACTGGGACATCTGCTGAGACAAAGAAGGCTACTTTAAAATGCAGCCGGCTGAGCCCGGAGTGGTTGCACTCACCTGTAATCCCAGCAGTCAGAGGTTTAAGAAGGAAGATCATGAGTTTCAGGCCAGCCTAGGCCATTTAGTGAGTTCAAGGCCACATGGTGAGACCCTGCCTTAAGAAATAAGGTTGCAAGAAAATTATCCCATGATTCAATGCATAAATAAGCAATTTATTTTCCATATGGATTTAGCATGTCAAAATGCTGAAGAGAGCACAGCAGCAGTGGATTGTCCCTGCTCTGTGAAGTTTGAGGCCTGCTGGAGACCATAATTTTAGTATTACAAAAGTTGACTCGAACAGGCACTGTTGACAGGAGGCAGAGACATCAGCTGGTATTTCTGTCCTGAACATCTCTATGGAGATGGAAATGTGCTTCCTGACCTGACTGCCGGATCCCAAGGATGAGTGCCACAGAGAGTAGAATGAGGAGCAGTGTGGTAAGATGCATACAGTCACTTCAAGTGGACTCTGCCAGACTGGAGAAGAGCCTGCCCAGGTTCAAAGGGAGAGCAAAGAGCCTCATATCTTGATGGGTAGTGACAGGTTCTGGCAGAGGCTCTGTACCTACCAATGTGGCTTTGGTCTTTTGAGAAACACAGTCTGACCCACTTGTTCATGACTTGGCCGTATGGATTTCAGTCCAATGAAAGTATCAGTTTATAGCAGGACTCATGCAGAAAACCCATTGAATTAGAAATAGTATAACCCCATTTCAAACTATAGGATATGTTCCTGAGCCACATCTAGTGAGTTTCCTTTGTCAATCCCCTTGAGTGACACTAGCAGAAACAATACCTATCTATAGGCTTTTTTTCCTCTACATTTGATGGTGATTTTATAAAATTAACTTTCTTTTATCAAATAATAATGAAAAGCAGATAAAAAAAATCCTGACAGCTCACTTAATTATACCATTGACCACTTTGGTACAGTGGTTGGTATAAAAATAATAAATATAAAGAACACTATTGACCAGGGTTGAAACATGTGAATTATCCCTGTGTTTCAATATATATACTTGTTTCTTTTGCTCTGCTTAGCATCTGTGATGGTTAAATGTGGTGATAATCTGAGTAAGAAATGCCTAGGAGATAGGTTTAGCACAGCTTTGGGTGTATCTGGATGATGGATATACTGAAGATTGAAAATCTACCCTGAGTATGGATAGCACCAACCAGTAGGCCAGTGGCCTGGATGGAAAAAAAAGGGAAAGAAGGAAGTCTGGATTCTGCTTCTTCAGAGGAGCTCAAGGCTTCCCTGTTGCCTTTTGGACATCTGTCTCCATGGTTGCAGCACAGACTCTTCAGCTTTACAGCTCAGTCTCTCTGGCTTCCTGATGGGGACTCACTCCCACGGGTCTCTGCAGTGAGTTCCAAACCTCTGAGTTTTGACTGGATCCTCTGGCTCTCCAGTGAGCAGACAGCCTTTTTGCATTCTTTTACACCTGACTCTGCAAGAAGCCAATGTAAAGCTACCTTCAGTACTGTTGCATATATTTTATATTATGCAGATGTATGTATTTTGTATTAAATCTGTTCCTCTAATGAATCCTAGCTGATACAGCATCATTTTTGACTAATCCCACTTTTAAATAATTTTCTATAAAGATTCAATTATTTCAGAAGGAATTTATTCTACCAAAACTAATCAACAAATTCAGGGTTCCCTCAAACTGAAATCTACTGTGATGTTTTAATTAGAAAACACACACACACACACACACACACACACACACACACACATACACATAAAGCTGTTGATTTATGGCTATGACATTTAGTTCATCAGAATTAAGGAGCACATTAAATATGAAAAGAAAATCATTTATATCCTAAATTTGTAGCAGAAAATGCCCCCAGCCAGTATACTTCACTTTGTTAGTTGTCCAGGTTGTAGATCCAGTTGCTCATGTCTCTTAGAAACAACTGGTCACTGTGATGCTTAGCTAGTCACTCTGATGTACATTGTATAAACCAATCCCCAATTAGCAAGACATTCTTCCTCTCTACTTCCTGCTTGCTTCTCCAATGTAAGTCCTAGACTACCAGAGATCGGCCCCTGATATTCTGAGAATGATCCCAACCAGTGCCCATCGACATAAATAAATCTGCCTCCAAATTCTGGGTGTTCTTGCTGTGCTTCCGCTTGTCGTTGCAAATTGAGTAACTAAGGAATAAAGTCTACTTGGGCGTTTACCATTCTAGCTGAGGGTAGGGAGTAAAGAAAAATGTAGAGGGTAAAACAAAAAGGTACCAAGGGAAATTATTTTAATTACAAAAAGGGGCATCTAGATGGCACAAATACTGTTCCTATGGAAGGCCGGTAGTTTTAGAATTTGACTGAGAGTAGTCATCTAATGGGGCTGGCCAACTAGAAATTTGGAAAAGAAAACCATGACATTCTAGACAATGCCTACAATACAACAGGCAACAAAGGATTAAAAGGGTTAAACCTCTTATCTCAAAGGATAACTGATAATTGTTAGCCAGCTGTGCGGGAGGGGTCTCAGCAACATAAACTTCTGGTCTGTTTTGCACCTAGGAAAAGGTACCTCATCTTTGAAGAATCTGGCATTGTACTCAGAGAGCGAATTTATTAACTTATCTGATATAAATTCGTGAAGTCTTGGTCAGACATAGAGAGGGAGTCAAGGTGCAAGCTCACTAATCTAAGAACATGTGTTGAGCCACAGACTTTAAGACCTAAGTGCATGATTTAATTTCAAGTCCTCCTACATTATTTAGAAAAGGTTATTTTCCTCCATTAATTTCCACTGCTCTCCTTTTCAAATTTGCAAGAAAACTTGGCATAATCTAAATCTATCTAAGGAAGAGAGAGGATTCAAGAGAAACTATAAAAGACAGAACAAGAAGATGAGGCAGGGACAGACAGCATGTTTCAAAAGACATTTTAATAGAAAGCATGGCTTGACAGGGAATGTACCCCTTGTTTCCAGTCCAATATCTATCACTGCCATCAAGTCCTCTGAAAACATTAAGCTCTTCCTGAATTGTTTCAATATTTCATTGCTTTCTGGAAGGGCAGGTAGAATATGACCCTGTGACAGAACTGTCACTTTGGACACTGCAAGTAGCCACCCCTTCATTTTCACTACAGCCTCCTGGTAATGGAGGAGGATAATTGGGTACTGTCCTCTTAGCTTGAAGAGAGTGCCTGACATCTGATTTTACATTGTGTGTCCTTTCCATAACAAAAGAGGCCATTACCAATCCCGCAGGCTGCCCTGAGCATGTTTTAAATCTGCTGCAAAACTTAACTAAATTACAGCTTTTTACACTGATTCTGTGCCCTATGTAATCCAAATCAATCCAAATGTTTCAGTTTCATTTTCAGATTAATGTTCAGCTCTGATCTTCAGTATTATTTTATCCCCTTGCCTCAAAGTATTTTTTTCCTACTGAAGAAAGGTGCTGATGACTTCAAGTTGTTTTCTTCTATAGATGGGAAGAAGAGAAGGAAAACTTTCATGTGATTTCTGCACATGACACGTTGTTGAACCCAATAACTTTCTGGTCTTCCTACTACCTTTTATAGACCAAGAACACACAGCTATGGAGGATTTACCAGATACTCGTGGAGATTTTCATATGTGTTATATTTAATAGCTTAAAGAATTATTTCACACATATATTAAATATTACAGCGTTTATGTCTAATATCTTATTTAGGCCTCAGAACAAAGTCACAACACTTAAGTCTCCCAATAAGTGTGTTTTAAAACTCTTCATGCTACAAACAAAGACATGAAGGCTCAGAAAGGTTAAGTGACCTGTCCAGGCCACAGTGTGCACACCATGGAACCTTTAATCTTAGCTAGTGTGATGTACTGCCTTCAGTGCACTGAAGCATAGGGAAATAGGTGTCACTCCTGGGACAGAACTGGGTCTACTGAAAGACCTGGTGTCAGCGCTACTTTGCATGTCTGAGAGCTACACAGTAGTGCACTGGGGACACATGAAACACACTGTGCTGACCGGGACACTGTTTATACTTGCTTTTGAGTGGTAACAAAAACCATTCTGAGAAGAAGGCACTCAGATTCTTGTTCTTAAATATGAATATGCCAAAATAAAATCTATAAATCCATATAAGTAACATGCACCAATAGTTTTAAAAATTTAAAAATATATCAAAATAAATCCTTACAGACCATGAACTCCCTTACTGCCAACTCCAGTGTAGACAGCTTCCATATCCCCACCTGTGGCAGCAGCACTGCTGCTTTGCATTTTTGAGTACCCCATTTTATTGTACAACATGCCTTTTGTACCACTGTATTTTGGGGGAGTAGGGGGTGGATAACCTATCCATTAATTCCCTGGTCTTTGGATCTACAGGATCTGGCCCCGGAAGCTGCACCTGAGACCCCAAGACAATGCCTCAGTAGCCTCACCCATGACACGCAGTATAGAGACTCAGCTACCTGACTTAGAGCAGAGGGCAGGAAACAGTGAAGCAGCTGGGAATCTGCAGAGTGAATGAGTGAACAACAGCATTTAACTGTGTCCCGCTGACCTACCAGCTAAGTGAAGCACATATAAGACACACAGTCCCAGGCCAGGTTACACTCTGAGAAGCAAATACAATGATTATTGTTCTATCATCCTAAACTGAAAATTTGGGACAGTTTTTTAACATAGCGAGTAGATAACTGAAATATCATTAAATATGATGATTACTAAATACTTCTTGGTGCAAACAAAAAAATGATATAGCAGAATACTGCCCCTTTGGTATTTAACCTCAGGGTAAGGGACAGACTAATAATGAACAGACAATTAGATTACTGTGGCATGAGCTCCATGGTAAGGTGTTATATGGCACAATTGCAGTACTAATGGCTGCTTCATCCCAGACTAGTGAGATTGGGGAAGTTTCCAAAAGAAAGGATAGCTGAACAGAATTCTAGGAAAGTAGGGATCTGTCAGGAAGAAAAAAAAGGCTAAAAGCTTTCTTGTCACTCTCCTCTTCTGACTCTCTGAACAAATCCTTTATTCACTAATGAAGAATGTGCAAAGGAATTAATAGATATACAAAAGAATATATATACATATATATATATAAATATAATCTAAGAACCTAAAACAAATGAAGCTGTGAAAAGAAAAGAGTTAAAAATGCATCTCCTTTAACATATTTGCTCCAAGTCTGAACTATGTAAAATTTTTAGCCAAATCCGGGCTTTTTTTTTTCCTAAGCAGGAATCCCCTTATTAATGGGACACTAACACACACACTGTTCTGTTACACTGACAGAATACAGCTTGTAGTAATCCTCTATATATTTCACTCTTAAATGCTGCTGTGTCCTCATTAGTGAGCATAGATTCCCTCTGGGGAGAATCCTGGAGATGTCACTATTAACTTTCAGGAGCTCGTTATCTGCAAAGATTTTCAAATCGAATCAAAACCATGACTCCCATTTATACCCTGAACCTTTGTATTTCAGGTTCACTACCAGATCATTTTTGAACCTGTAAGGATGTCACTCTTCTCACTTGGTATTGTTATTACTCTATTTTTATCTTCTAGTTTTATAGTTCCTCCGACTTAACATTAAAAAAAAAAAAGACAAAGATTAAAAATGTGGTCATTGGAATGCCTAGATGTAAGTGATAATATGCTAACAACAGTGAACAAAAATGGTGCAGGTTTGGAATGGTGTCTTATATGAATCTCTTATAGGTGAGAGGATCAAGAATACATCTCTTTGCAAACAGCTTGCTTCCAAGAAGAAAAGAAGTCACATCTAATAGCTCCTTCAAACACTTACAATTGAGGTTAAGGATCTCTTCCCATGGTGAGGCTGAGTGACAGTCTGCACCTGACCAAAAGTTATTCCACTAGAGACATCTTCACAGGGAGAGAAACACCAGGAGTGCAAATAAGTGCTTCCCCACTACCATTTTGGGATGTGTGTGTGTGCTTGTTGTGTTGTGTGTGCGTGTGTTTGTGTTTTGTTGTGTGTGTGTTTCTCTATTCCTGTAATGCTATTGGGTCTTGAACCAAGCACAAGAATGTAACCCTTTTGAGGAAGGGAAGTAGTAAACAGCAGCTCTGTCCTTAACTGTACCAGGCAGCTGCCTTGTGCATTCTACTATTCCTTAGAGAACTCTTGTAACAGAAGGGACAAAGTCCCCAAAGACTCAAAACTGAGTTGCACCAGTCTGAGAAAAAATGCCAAAGACCTGACGTCCTCAAGATTTCCAGTTGACTCCTAATTCTAATTATCTTCAGGCAGGCTGAGTCCTCCCAAAGCAGTATTTAAACGGAGGATTCAAGTGGAAGGGCGCCTTTCAGAGATTTCCCTGGAGAAATCAGTCATGGAAAAGGGTAAAAAGAATGGAAAAGAAGAAGAAACCAAGCAAACATGCAATTTGAGGTGAAGTTCAAGCCCCAGCCTGATCCCACAGGATCAGTCAGAGACTGCTTAAATATAAAAATATGCATAAAGTTCAACACTGCAACTTAAACTTTGATTGAATATTAAAGCCTTGCAAAAAGCATATAAATAAATTCTGTACATGCCACAGCTAGTTTCAAAAACATTTTTACAGTCTTCCTAATTAAGTAAAACATTGTTTCATGAGGCTGTACCACATCAATATATGTGTTTGCATTCTTGTT